CAAAATTTCTGGTCAAGATAATTAGAACATTTTACTACTTATTATAACACTATTAAAACATAAAAACATGTATTTCATTGTGGAAAAGGAGAAAAAAAAACGTTTGCTGGTAACATTTTTATTTGGTCTCCTGTTGGGTATAGGTAGTGGCTGTTATTACAGTTATTCCTAAAACAAATCATCTCTGTAATGCGTATAATAAATAATTTTAAAATCGCATATGAAAATATCTGTATTTGTACATACTATATCTCTTTCCTTCTGCTTTGTTAATTATAGTACTATAAAAACTTGAAGAATGCTTAAATGCAAAATCTGCCGAACAAAATCCAAACAATAAAGTAAGGTTATGTTCTCATATTTGACAGAATATCAACTAAATTATGGAAACTTTTCAGGCAGAAAACGGGTACGAAATCTGTAAATGTGAGTCACATCTGTTTCATAAAAGTTTCGAAAAAGTAGCGAAACCATATTTTGGTAAAATGTTTCGAAACAAAAAGTGATTTATGTTACGAAACTGTTTCGCAATGTTTCTCAGCAGAGATTTTGTATCTAAAAATGCTACTTGGGTTAGTTAGACAGAACTATTTTAGAACACATGTCCTCTTAAGGTGTAAAATTGGGTATAAAAGTTTTATGTATGAAAATTTGTTACTATTACATCTAGCAGTACGAAATGTTGTACAAGGGTTCTTTTAGCGACATCAATAATAAACACAAAACATTTTTTTTAAACCATCCTCCAACGAACAATTAATAATTATAATTTTTCAATTATATTCCCCATTTTTATTCTTGAAAGCTCCATAAATTATTCATTACAAACCAATTTAGTTTTCTTTTTATCAAACTAATTGAGTTTCCATTTTTTTCATGGCACAAACACGTTCACATTTTTCTCATTTCAAACCTCTTTAATATTTCCATCTCTCCCTCACTCTCTCTAACACACAAAACATTTTTGTTTCTTTGGAAAACGTCGGCAATTGATTGACGCATTTTAATTTAAACCCTGTCTGTCACGGTGAGAGAAATTTCCCTGGAAAATCTCCCGTTTAAATTTGGATATGGCACTTATTCGATTCCAGCCGCTTGATTCTGATATAATACAGTTCAGTGAAAAAGGAAAAATGTCTGAAGAGTTTTCTTTTAAAAAACATGCCTCTTAAGTTTTTTTCTAGGTCCTGTACGATTTTTTTTAGAAAATTTATATTTTCAAAAAACAGTGTCTGCACTATGTGCACCAATGAAAATGCGAGTTACTAAAATTCAGAAAAATTAAAACCCAGAACAAATCCAGTAGTTCTAAAAATTTAAGCAAAAAATATTTTTTTTTTATTTTCAAAGTAATATAACTCGGGTATTTTGGACTTATTTAAAAAACGGTAATAAATATGTTTCTTTTATCGAGATCTACCAGCCCTGAAAATATTTACACAAATTTAAGACTTACCCTGTATAAATATTATTTTTCGGGGTCAATTCAAGTCATTTCTCTGAAAAAAAAGGGTTCTGTACGGATCCCAAAACTGTCGCCTTGTATTAAAAAACGTTTCATTATTTTTGGCTCCGTAATTTTCTACATTAAATAAAAATATCAATCATCATTTATCTTTATATATCACTGACCGTTCCTCATAAATTAATTAGCCCTTCATATTTTATAAAATTAATATATAAAAAAATATTTAGCATTCATGGTTAAACTTAAAAAAAATAGCAGTCATAGCAAATCCATTTTTATATTCTTGATTCAGAATGGTTAATCTAAAACTATTATATCAAATTCTCTCTCAATTTTTCTTTCAGATAAAATAAAGGAGTTGGTATTGTATGAATGTATATGACATAAATCAGGACTGACTGACGTATTTAATTAGTTTCGGTCACTTCCTGTTTCACCGGAAAGACTACAACATTTGATTTTTAAGTGATATATTTTCGGTATATTTTTACTGTATTTGATAGAAAATAATATTCTGAACAGAATGACATATCATAATATGCCATTTTTAGCATGGTTTAATGTCTTAATCTCTCTTTTTTTGAATAATCTGGAGGCATCTTAAGACTGTAAATTGCTAAACAAGAGCAACGATTCTTTTAATTTTTTTGCAATTCGAACATAATCTGTCACCTTAAACGATGTGTAAAAAAGGTTTAGTTGAAAGCAGTAAACCTTAAACAGCCTCTACACTATGCGGAGAACTCTTCGAAGCAGGTTAAGGTCGCGTTTCGTCGCCCAACTTTGTCGCATTTCGGTTTATTTCCAGTTGTCTCGATCCACTTCGGTTTGCCTCGACCTACTTTCGATTCTTAAAAGCGCCTGAAAACTACTCGTGAGGAGGGCGTGGGGAGATTTTTTTGGCGTTCCTTGTTGCCTCGTTCAATTTTGTTTCGTTTTGAGCGATTTCCAAAACGTGGCGGTATCTGTACCCGAGGCAAAGGACTTATTTCTACGACTAGTCTAGAAAATGCAATGTGACACACGGAAAACTCGATCTGAAATTGGCGTTTTGCAAACTGTCGTGTGCTAATATTTGAACACGTGTTTATATATAAATGTAATATTTCGTAAAACATTTCGGAGATAGTGTAGAGGCTGTTTTAAAGTATAATATCATTTCTACGCCTAAAACAGTGCCCTTTTTATTCGATCACATGGTATATGAGACTATTTCTATAAAATATTGTCTTAATAAGCTCGAAAAGTGGAAATGGTGCTACGCCTTCCTTCGACGCTGTAACAATGTCGTCATTATTCATTGTCACCTTCATATCATCGTCATAAGTCTTCATATCCGTAAAGTATACTTTGCCGGAAAAAAACTCGCCACGTCGTCAGAACCCCCTTCAGACCCCGTGTGCTCGAGCATATCGCTGCTCCGGCAGAATAGTGACCGAACTGCAAAAAGTATAAATTCTCAGGGGAAGCAAAAAACGAAAATGGAACTTTGTTATTTGTTCCCAAAACTTTGCATTCATAGTTATGACTTTGGAAACATCGTATTAGTAACTTAAATATAGATCACTTTAAACAGTATTTAACACAATTATTATATTTGTAAAATACACCCTTAATTTTGAAGTTATGTCATTATTTCCCCAATATTGATAGAACAAAATTCGACAGTTGTGTTAAACAATTTATTATCAAATTTAACAATCGTCAAAGTATTTATAAAAAATAAACAAACAAAACTCTTATAAAACAACTTCTTCACCGACGAAAGTTTGAAGTTGCTTAACTTAAAATGGCTAACTAAACATTTTTAGGAACCGATAGGAACTATAAAATACTAACTGCTATTTAACTATACTAATATTATTCTAAAGTTATAAAACATTAATTTAAAATAAATTCAAAGAAAGGTTTATAAAACCCAGGGATTATTTTACTATCAATTAAACTTTTTAGGTCTTTCTTTTTATTATCAGCAACTGAAATTTTTTTTTGTATATGCTGGCTTTCTGTGGATCTCATTGAATGGTTTTACCTCAGAAATGCGTCGTTTTTTAGACTTATACCCTACACAATTCCATTCCACTTGCTTGTAACTTGTCTTGTACTTAAAAAAGCGTTCCCTTTTTCAGTCTTTCAGTAACTTTACGTCACTTATTTTAAAATCATTCCCGTCTACATTTTTTGTTAAAGTAAGCGCCATTTCATCATGGATAAATTTTATATCCAAGAAGCTGTCAAAATTCATTTCTTTTACCTCCAGTGGATTACCATTCTTCTTCGCAGATCGAATTGCGGAGATATACTGCTCTGGAACGTAAATTGGACCAGATCTTTTAATTTTAGTCACCGACTTCTCAATTCCGCTGTGAATCGCATCGCCTTCATTTTGAGTATGGCCACGAATTAAGTATTTGTGGGTAATAGAATTTATTTCTAAGCACTGAACAGCGTAGAGGTATGTAGCTATCATGTATCTGTAAAATAGATATCTCTAATATTTTTGTATACGTTTTTTTTATTTTACATAGATACCTGTTTTTCTGCTGGGCGCCACAATTATCCGAGTAAAAAACCACGTCGGCACCTGGGTTAGTTAGTGATAGCTCTTCAAGATACAGGAAAACACATGAAGCAATTTCTGTTACTCCTCTATTACCCAGATCTTCATGCCAAAAAAAGCACAAAGATTTGTCATTTCCTATTTCTGTTATCTAAAACAATAAAAATAATAAGAAATCTGGCATTTTTGTTTAATGGAATTTTTAAAAATGGGTAGAATATACCCATTCTGCTTACTGTAAAATTATAGCAGTTGATACGGGATTTGTAAAAAAGCTGATGACTGTCCAGTGGGTATTGGTAGCACCGCCTGCAAGTCATAAACTGCAAGCACACATTCATTATTTTTGGCTTTCTCTTTATCATTTTGTTTTTCACTTCGACTTAATTCTTTTTCTTCTAGATGGCTTTGGTAATTAATCTCAAGGTTTTCTTTTTCCTCTTCCTGGGAGTTTTTATAGGCTTCGCAAACGTCGCACTGGTCTTTCTTTGGCAAAAAGAAACCTATATTGAACTCTTTATTGAATATTCAAGAGAGTATTTATCGTAACTTGCTGCAATCTTATTGATGGAAGACCTCTGTGTTGAATAATTTCGGTATAACTCGGCTACAGAGAGGCCACCGTCAATAAATTCCCTTTTTGTATCTTTTCTGACATAGTGACTCTCAATACGAGGAACTGAATTAATGTGGTCACGTACGGACTTCAATATTTCTTCATCAATCTTTTTGTGATTTTGATGCTTGCCTCTGTTATCAGTTGGTACTATTCCAGTACCCCTTGCCTTAGACTTTATAACCGTTCTGATTGTTCTTTCATTTATACCGAGAGTATTAATTAAGAATGTCTTGCATACACGAATTCTGTGTCCTTCTTTAGAAATGTAAAAGGAACAATTGGGATTTCTGGGTTTCGCAGCTGAAATGCGTCTGTACTTTAGATCCAGTTTTTCAATATGGGCAGCCAAAAATCGCGCTGTCTTTGTAGAGAAGAGAATGCCCAGTATTCCTTAAACATTTCGTTTCTAAAATTCTCATTAATTTTTTTGAGCATGATAAAATACATTTTTCTTTGCACGGCGGTCCCATCTTTTTTCACCAATAATTTTCTCCGATTTTGATGTGTAGCTTTGACCACAATTTCTTAGCCTTTTAGCTTTTTCTCTTATCCAATTATCAGGGTTGCGGCTTCTTTTCTTGCCCTTTTTAGGAGATGCGGGTTTTCCATTATTTTCAGTAGTTTCTGAACTATTAAACGTTCTTTGGCGAAAAACAGCATTCTGATTAGAAGTACCAGGCATATGCTCAGACGAGTCGCTTGATAAATCTTCACTTCCTGGAGAAAAATTGTCACTAGAACCAGAAGAAAAATCGTTATGCTCTCTTGCATCAGCCGGGTCATTATAGGTCAACCTAGGAATTCTTCTTAAATTTATGCTGGTTGAGTTTCTGCTTTCAACAATATATTTGTCTGGCTTGGTTAGCTGCGTTTCCGTAACCAAATCTGCAGAAATTAATGGTTCTGGAGAAACTGATTTTATTGTCGAACCAACGTCAATTTTAGGATCACCCTTATCCCCGCTCTTAATTAAAACTGTATCCAAAACAGGAGGAACCAACGGCCCTGATTCCGCAAGTCCTACGGTTAAAGAACTGCCACTTCCAGTATCGTCATTATCAATGGGGTCTTTTTGGTTCCCGTTTAAATCTGTAGCAATAGCAAGCTTCAATATTTTGGCCGTTCTCGAGCTCATTTTTCTCCCGAAAAACTTTTTGGTACCTCTGTAATATAAATAATAGTATATTATTATTATGTATTTAAGGTAAAAAGTAAGTCTTTAGGGACCGGTGCGGGTTCCATAACGGCTTTCTCGTGTATAATATAGATTTTTTTACTAATAATGCTGAACTTCCAAACATTACCATATTTGAACTGATTATTTTTCAAAATTAACCATTTTCCTATTATTTAAATATATGGAAATATCAGGTAGCCAGCTGTCTAAACAAAAAGTCAAAATTTGTCATTCAAGACAGCAATGCTAATATTTCTACTTAAACACTTTTACCAAAAGAAAATGTACGTTTCGGGACAACAATAACGTAATTACCAAAAAGAAAAGGTACATTTCGGGACAACAATAACGTAATGGACCAATAAGTTAAGTAAAACCTAAACTTTTTGGGTCAAGAATGACAGAAAGTACACTTACGTCTTATTTTCATAATTTCTTTAAATGAAACGAACAAAATTTCGAAATAATATTGACATAGAATACACTTACGTCTTTATTTCACCAAACTTTTGCCAAAAAATGTCAAAAGTTTTTGTCGCCACTAACACAAACTACACTTACGGCGTTTTTCTCGCGAACAAATACAGTTCTGTCCCAATTTCCAGACGCGACTGAGCAATATGTCATTATTTTTTCAACGACCGCCTAGGAACATGTGGAATTTGAAGACGACGCAACTGCCATCTAGCGGTAACGAGTGGTAGTACAGTTTCGTCATTATTTTACCATATATATTGAACATTTTAAAAGTGAATGATGAAGTTAACTAAATTTTTTAAAATTTTGCAGTTCGGTCACTATTCTACCGGAACAGCGATATAACAAGAAAAACAGCTAGATTTAGCTTAGGGGTCGTGTTTGAATAGGAAAATGTCAAAAAGTGCGAGAAAAATTAGTGTAGAATGTATTTTATTAGGATGCTGAGGGTTTCTTGAATTGCTGTGGCAGAAAAACTGCTATATTATTTTTATTAAAACTAGTATTTGAAATTGTTTAGATCGTAATCTAAAATCACGGCGATAATATTAAAAAAATACTTAAATGAGAACTTGTAGCAGCCGAAAATAATTTCTTATTTTTGCGCTACATCTCTAGACTATTTCTTTGATACCCTGTATAAACAAAACTATTTTTCTTTTATGTTAACTCTTTTATATTACTGACAACTTACACTTTTTTATAACCTTCCAAGTCCATAAAGACACCTCTAAATTCTGTCCTTTTTGTTACTATAAAATCAGGACGATTTCGAACAGTTATCTAGAAATAAATGGCGATCGTCGAGGCAGTGCAAAGGGCGGGCCCTTCCCTCGCATTACGACGTATTTTTACACATGTCTTAATCCCACAAGCGATCCTTTCCAGTGGATCATTTTAAATTCGTCCTTGTGACCTTTTCTCCATTTTCGGGACTCTCGACGACCGGTTTTTCATATTATTAGGGTTTAGTAGAGTCTGGATTCAGGTGATGTATATAGAAAATGCTGGTTCCATATATATTATATTACTACCGTTTTTAGTTAGTTTAGTTATGTTTAGAAAATTAAATGAGGAGTATGATAGATGGGGTTTACAAATAAATTTTAAAAAGACAGAATATCTATGCGTGGGCAACAAAGGACAAGACCTAGAAATGGAAAACGGAAACAAAATAAAATCATGTACAGAATTCACATACCTAGGTACTAACATACATAATAATGGAAAAAGCGACAAAACCATCAATAATAGAATCAACAAAGCCAGAAACATTACAGGGGCACTAAATTCTATTCTTTGGCAAAAAAATATAGATACCACAACAAAAACCCGCATATATGACACTATGGTTAAGAGCACACTTACTTATGGCGCTGAAGTATGGCAGATGAGCAAGTCTATGGAAGGAAAGCTTTTAGCAACTGAAATGGACTTCTTCAGAAGATCGGCAAGAAAATCAAAATTGGAAAAAGTGCGAAATGAAGAAACAAGAAGAATAACGAAGAAAGAGATAACCAACATAGAAGAAATCCAAAAAAACAATTAATCTGGTATGGGCATGTAAACAGAATGGGAGAAGAAAGGCTACCAAAGAATATAATGAAATGGATCCCATATATATATATATATATATATATATATATATATATATATATATATATATATATATATATATATATATATATATATATATATATATATATATATATATATATATATATATATATATATATATATATATATATATATATATATATATATATATATATATATATATATATATATATATATACTACCGTTTTTATAGGTTCTTTTAAGAAATTAATTATAAAATTAGCAACAACAAAGTTACTAACTTGACTTTTTGATCATTGATTGGTATTCCCATGTATTCCATCATAATTCAAACATTACAGACTTCGAGAAGGCTTTCGACTCGATATATCTTAAGGTAATAATAGAAGCCCAAGCAAAACAAGGTATAGAAAGGCCTTATAATATAGAAACTCTAGTCAATATATACACAGACGCTAAAAACGTGGCGGATTTACATCTCCAAAAAATCCTATATGGGTATTTCGCCACTGCAAGAAAATCTACAAAATAAAATAGTTATTTTTTGTAAACACTTCTGCGTTAATTCCAAACGGAGACTATTATTATGTTATTGTGGAAACGACCCAAGCTCACCTGATGGGGGCCCGAAACCGGTAGTGAAAGCAGGTTGATCCACATTATGTCGAACACAGCGTGGAATTAATTTCTATATTAGCAGTTCAAGGCAAGAAACTCTTATATAATTTTATTATATACCTAAAAACTGCAAGAAATTTATTTTCCATTATATTATTTGGGCTAGCCGAAAAAAGCCTTTATTTAATATCGATAGTTGTGCCTCGGTGGTACGAAAGTACTACCATTGCACGCAGGCCGCTATCTCGCGATGCGGAACTTAATATCTTACCGCTACTTTACGACAAGTCGTGTTTATATACTATGCGCTGTGCTCGACATATTGTGGAAACGACCCAAGCTTACCTGATAATGAGGTAGGGCCCCGAAACCGGTAGTGAGAGCAGGTTGATCCACATTATGTTGAACACAGCGTGGAATTAATTTCTATATTAGCAGTTCAAGGCAAGAAGCTCATATAATTTTATTATATACCTAAAAACTGCAAGAAATTTATTTTCCATTGTAAGCAGTTAGGTTTAGTGATAAACAAATTTGCCTAACGAACAAAAAATGCTTAACGTTTCGGAAAATTTATCTCTTTCCGTCGTCGAAAGCAAAAAAATACAAACAATAAAAAAATTATTTAAAAATATTTGAGTGCAACTATTCGAGAACATTTTATGATAACTTAAGATGCGGCGAGATCTAGCATATTGCTACTCCATCTAACCACACTGTTAGGTATAAACTTAACAACTGGTTTGAAGCCTAAGTCTTTTCAGGCAAGTCATAAGTAGATTAGATAATAACTAGATTTATTTAGTAATGGATGATACTAATAGTTATTTTTTATACAAGACGATAAAATGTTATTTTATCGTTGACCGAAAACGGACGAGGGATGAAATCGCGAGTGAATTAATTTCGAGAGACGATAATGCAATTTTATCGCCGTGTATAAAACAATATTTTTTTCCATAGTGAGTTACATTTTAAAAAATATTCAGAAATTATTATTTCAAGGAATTTATTACGAGTAGAAAAAATATTGTGCTGGGTTGGCGTTGGTTTCTATGTAATTTGACAAATAAATAAAGCTGTCCCTTTAGTCAGTTTTGAGTCAATATTTTTTAATTCTCTTTCGTGTCGATCGCTGATTGAATTGGAACCAGAAATGGCTCAAAACGAAATAAGTAAATTACCAACAGATATTCAGGCTGAGGCGACAAACGCCATATCCAAACTACTTCCATTTAAATCCCGAATAACTTATGAAAAGGTATACAAAAATTTTCAAAAATAGAAACAATTAAAAAACGTGCGAGAAGAAATAAAGTTTTTAACCTATCCTCGCTGTTAAAGTATCATTTAATCTACCCTTGCGGTTAAAGTACTATTTTATCTACTATTTTTGATAGATATAAGGAAATTTTAACAGTTGCTATGGAAAAAATGAACAAACTAAAAACAGAAATAATTAACCTATTTTAAAATTATATTCTTGACAAAATTAAGTACATCTCTCGTTCATATAATGATGTTGCATAATACACTATTCGTGTAAACCATTAAATATTTTTACAGAATAACTAAATGAACCTCGAAACTTGGAAGTTCTATGTTGAGGTACAACAAAATTGCTGGGGTTACGTGTTGTCCGACCGTGGATACTATTATTAGTAATTAATTTGTCATATAAATATTTAGGGAGTTGAGGTAACGTAAAGTAAAATATGTGAGGGAGACTACAACATAATTGAAAATGGTTGAATATGCTGGAAATGACAATGATGATGATGATATCTAAAGAATAAATATATTTAATTTATACTGACCTGGAAGAAATCTGGGCGTATCTACTTTAACGTTAAGTAAAAAATTGAGTGGTTTCAGTCTTAAGCAGGGCGCCAAATCGTCCTCGTACAGGTCGCCGTGACACCCCGTATATTTGGCTACGGTCCTCTTCACCCAGAGCGGGTCCCTCTGCAAGGCCCAGGGGCTCAGCCCCGAACCGCTCAGAAGGATAACCCTGTGCAGTAATTCTGAAACAAAAAAAAATATATTTGTTAAAACTATAAAATTTTTAAAATGATTATTTATTATATTATACTACGGTATGATGGAAAAACAACGGAGTCAGAGATGGCTATGAAATGAAGATGGCTGTCATTATATTTGTAAAATTTTATGGGGATTGTCATCGATGTTCATTTCAAAGCCAACTGTACGCCGTCTTTTTTTCTAGTTATTATGCGCATGTAAAAGCTTCTGGTTACAGTCGTGCTCTTAATTTTCATTTAAAACCATAATATTATCTTGATAATATGGCACCATATACCGTGTGCGTCTCGAAAGTGGCTCACCCCTATAACATTTTATTTTTTCAGATAAAAAACGAGATTTGGTATATCAGTATATGACATAAATTAGGATTGATTGGCATACTCAATTGTTTTCGGTAATGACTACAACTTTTGATTTTTAAATGGCACCATCGATCTTTTTTTACTTTATTCGATAGAAAATGACACTCTGAATAGAATGATATATCATATGTCAACTTTTAACATTTTTGCATATGGTTTATTTGAAATTATAACTTGCGGTTCGTAACGAAAATTTGACTTGAAATACCAAGTGTGTTATATCAAATTATTTGCGAAAAAAATATTTTTCCAAATATGCTAATGAGCCACCCTCGTTCCATTTGAAAAATTGAGATATGATTAAAAATACGATTTGAGCATTTTCTAACTAGCTAGGACAAGACACTAAAAACATTAGACGACCAAATCTATTTTTCCAAGTTTCTTTAATTAAGAATTAGTGTTTTTCTTTAAAGTTGTATTTAAAATATAATTTTTTATTAAGCAAGAATGTCAAAAGTTGACATATGATATGTCATTCTATTCAGAATGACATTTTCTATCGAATAAAGTAAAAAAATACCGACGGTGCCATTTAAAAATCAAAACTTGTAGTCATTTCCGGTGAAACAGGAAGTGACCAAAATCAATTGAATACGTCAATCAATCCTAATTTATTTCATATACCAACATACCAAATCTCGTTTTTTTATCTAAAGAAATAAAAAGTTACAGGGGTGAACAACTTTAGACGCACCCGGTATACCGTATGATCGAAAAACAACAGCGTCAGCGATGGCTATGAAATGAAGACTGCTGTCATTTTATTTGTAAAATGATATGGAGAATGTCATCGATGTTCATTTCCATACACGCCGTTTTTTTTTCGATATTACGGTATTATATGCATGTATTTTACTTAAATTAATATAATCAAAAAAGCCGTTTACCGGTTATTATCATAGTAGAAGGAAAAGAGTACCTAGTTGCACTCTCCCAAATATTTTCTGCCAGTGTTTACAATCTATCGAATATCTGCAGATTGCAGAGCGTTTCAGTTGAGTTCCGTCCGTCGACCTGCGAGGTTCGAGTGTTGCGTCCGAACACACAGACGGATTGACAAAAAATGAGTGCCTTACTGTATGCTGCTATTGGTTGTAGTAATAATTAAAAAAATTGTGCTTTAAGTTTTTTTTGAGAGTCATTTGTGATCATGTTTGTGTTCAGGTTAATTTTCTCATGACTGGTTTACTACTTAATAATTTGATATTATTTTCATATATACCTCAATTTTTTATCGATTTTACTATTGACAACCATCCCTTGCTTGTGGTTTAATGAACTGCACCATCATTGAACAAACATTTGCTAGTACCGACATTTTTTACAGCAGAGCTACCACCTGAATTCCCAGCACAAAATTTAAATTCCAGTTTAGCGCCGAATATGTTAATAATAATAATAATAATTTAAAAATCGCGCCCAGGATTACGTAACTAAAAGTTTAATTGATATCAAACTTCTAATACAATATACAATACCAAATGCAGTAATTTTAACCCATTTTTGTCTAAAAAAAAGCATAAAAAAGTATAACGTCGCCTGGTTTAGGATGTCTCGTAATAAATCCTATCGATTGCGCTCTCGAGTTTCGGATCCCATTTCAAAAGATCTAAATTTTTCAATTTAACTTCTTGTAAAGTTTATTAAAACCGCAGGGCAAACTTTCGAGAGTAACCGGATCCCGTTGGCCCGCTCTGCTCTCTGCGAAAAGTCAAACATATTTTACGTTGACAATTCGAAATAAATGAAGGATTTACGATATTCCGGATGCTTTAATATTTCTACGCTCGAGGTAAAAAATCCTTTTAGAAAAATCTTTTTAAGAAGATAAAAAATATTTTAATTTTTCTTTGAGTGTTTGAGAACCTTAAAAATTATCGTCTTCAAACTATTAAAGTAAAATATGTTTATATAAAGAGTTTTGAATAGACATAAGTTCTTTTTAAAAAAGATTTGCTGATTTATCAATATCTTCGAATGTGCATTATTATACCATTACTACTGTAAATAGAAGCTTTCCTGATTATTAATGAATGTTTTTTTCGAAAGCAACAACTCTTAAAATTGCCTTATATCTATCAAAAATGGTAGATAAAATAATAGTACTTTAACCGCAAGGGTAGATTAAATGATACTTTAACAGCAAGGATAGGTTAAAAACTTTATTTCTTCTCGCACGTTTTTTAATTGCTTCCATTTTTGAAAATTGTTGTATTCCTTTTCATAAGTTATCCGGGATTTATATGAAAGTAGTTTGGATATGGCGTTTGTCGCCAAAGCCTGAATATCTGTTGGTAATCTACTTATTTCGTTTTGAGCCATTTCTGGCTCCAATTCAATCAGCAATCGACACGAAAGAGAATTAAAATATATTGACTCAAAACTGACAACTAAAGAGACAGCTTTATTTATTTGTCAAATTACATACAAACCAACGCCAACCCAGCACATTATTTTTTCTACTCGTAATAAATTCCTTGAAATAATAATTTCTGAATATTTTCTAAAACATTACTCGCTATGGAAAAAATTATTGTTATATACACGACGATAAAATTGGCTCGTGAATTAATCTTTTCGGTCAACGATAAAATACCATTTTATCGTCTTGTATAAAAAAATAACTAAAAGTACACTCATATAAGGACCAACAAAGGATTAAAAATAGATGGAGAATATCTTAACCATCTAAGATACGCTGATAATATGGCACCATAATTATGAAAGAATAATCTACCATTTCGATTACTGAGTAAATCTAAACAGCGCTCCTAAGAACAAAATTGTTTATTTAGCAGAATGCCATATCGTGCAATTTCCAAATTATTATCTGTCGAGTCGCCAAGTCGAGAACAGCCGTACCATCCTTTTCGTACCATTCTTTTCTCAGGTATTAGCAGCACTTTTTACCACCCTGTAACTTCGTTGTGGATAAAGCAAGAATATTAATTTTCACTACACTTGAAGGCATACTACCTAGCGCTGGCTAGGTTACCAACATATCTAGTAATTATACCTCATAGTTTATGAATTATCACTTGTCAAATTTCTTTAATTTCGCCATTCACTCACTGACAGATCATCAAAATTCTAAGGTACCATTGCGATAAAAAAAAGTAGTACAACAAAATATGATTTAATCTGCTGGTCTATATGCTTGTGTCAGTGTCACGTAATTTTTAAAAAAATGCCTTTAACTTCAGAGCAAATAACGATTATATTTACGCGATTAAGGGATGGGGTTCTCATAAGGGACATTGCAGATGCATTAGGGATAAACAAAACAACACTGTTGTTGGCTAAATCCAAAAAAAAAAATTAATATAATTCAAATATACTTATAGACCAGGAGTTCTATCTGGGACTACTAATTCTTGTACTACTTTTTTTTGATCGCAATGGTACTTCTAGTTGTGTCACAAACTTCAAATTTCGAATTTTAGGTAGCTTTAAGCTTATAATGAAAGGAGAAAATGAAAAATTTCGAAATATCCTCGTAGATTAAAAGTTAGATGTCTAGCCGCTACCGGTAACTGACCATTCCAGCAATTCTATCATTTGAAAAATGGTAGTATCTTTGTTATTTAAATAGAACACCCAGTATATTATTACATTTTTGGAAACTACTCTCATATCTCTTATTATACTAATCTCTTATAGTTTTCGAGATAAAAAATAAAATATATGTAAAAACATGATTTTGAATAAGCATTGGTAAAATCATGAATTTCATTTTTAAAGTTGATATTTAGGTTGTAAAGAAAGTCGGAAACATAAGTAGTTAGAAAACGAGAATTAATCCATTTGATATTATCTGACCTTAAACGATAATTCAAAGTTGATGAATTATTGCTAGTCAAATTTCTTAAATATTATTTCGAATAATATATTACCCGAGAACAAATAGGAGGATATAACCTACAAAAAGAAATGAGATCTCGGCATCAAAAACACAGAATGTAAAAAAATTGCACTATATGATCCACTATAATTAAAAAACTTTATTTTTAAGGGCACTGTTTAGATTTACTTAGTAATTGAGATGGTAGATTATTCTTTTATAATTATGGTGCTGTGCAATTGCCAAGTAATTTTAATTATTACAGAAATAAAGATGACTAATATAATAATAATAACAATTTATAACAAATTTGTTAAATAGGTGCTTAAAGAGAGACTAAATAAAATAGGCTGTACTTAAACTGCCGTTAAACGGTAGCTTACTAAAATGCCGTTAAAAGGTATGACGTCGTTGATGTGACGCACTTGACGGCTTTATGAAATATAGGAATTTTATAAAAACTAACCAACGCTATCCACCCCTCCAAATAACCAACTTAACCAACGCAACTAACCTGGACACTGATAAAAAATATAAAAAACAAATATAAATTAGTAAAAATCAACCAACCCCACCAAATAACCAACTAACCAATGAATTAACACCCTCCAAATAACCACGCTAACCAACCCGCCAAATAACTAAACCAATCCAACCAAAAAGAGTGAAACTAATGCAATAAGATCACGCAAAAAAATATAAAAAAAGTCTTGGTCGGCGTGAGATTTGAACCACGAACCATTCACTTACGAAGCGATAGCCTCAGCCACTG